TGAGTCAATTTCCTTTCCCCCCCCCCCCCCTTTTTTTTTTTTATTACCACTTACAGGAAACCTAAGCTGTATCAGCCAGCACAAGCTTTCAGCCATAAATTTACTCTAAAATGTTTGTTCCTACTGCATAACAGGGGGGTAGTGAGAAAGAAGAAAAAGGAGTTTATTGGAAGCCAATTTTTCTGATTTTACAGATTTGAAAATTCAGCACTATGTGCTTTTCAGGTATTCTTTAGTGTAACTTTGCCTTGGGGCTATTGTAAATTGTTCACAGAGGTATTAAAAAAAATCAGGAATTACAAAAGATCAAAATCCAGACATGACTGAGTGGCAGTCATTTTAGAAATAAAAGTTCAGGAAACATATTTTCAGCATATTCTCAGCACATTTGACCCAGGCACATGTACTATAGCTAGTACTTCAAGACTGGCTGAATTGTGCAGTTATTCTGCATGCTACTACTAAAAGGGGAGCAATATGGAGCCATCAGTCACCTTTAATTTAAAATCATAGAAGGAAAAAAGAATATTCATCAGCTACATGTTGTCCAATTCTCCTGCAACCAAAAAATTTTTAATAGTCCCAGATTCTGGTAAGGTGTTCCACAGCTTATGTACACATTATTGTGAGTAAAACAGTTCAGTTTTCAACTGACCACGTTTCTTTGATGGTCCTTGTTCTTGCAGCCAAAAAGACAGCCAGCAACTATTTATTCTTCTGTCTTCATTGCCACTCACCACTCTGGAGATCTGGCATAGCCCTCCCCCCCAGCATCTTTAGTCTGGAGACTCCTACCTAATCATTCCCAAGAATGGAGCTATGATCAAATATACAAGTTACCTTTGTGGTGGGTTGACCCTGGCTGGATGCTGGATGCCAGATGCCCACCAGAGCTGGTCTATCACTCCCCTCCTCAGCTGGACAGGGGAGAGAAAACATAATGAAAGGCTCGTGAGTTGACATAAAGACAGGGAGACCACTCACCAATTACTGTCACAGGCAAACCAGACTCAAGTCAGGGAAATAAATTTAATTTATTGCCAATCAAATTAGAGTAGGATGATGAGAAATAAAACCAACTCTTAAAAAGACCTTTCCCCCACCCCTCCCTTCTTCCCAGGCTCAACTTCACTCCTGATTTTCTCTTCCTCCTCCTCCTCAGTGGCGCAGGGGACAGGGAATGGGGGTTGCAGTCAGTTCATCACACATCTCTGCCACTCCTTCCTTCTCAGGGGGAGGACTCTTCACACTCTTCCCCTGCTCCAGTGTGGGGTCCCTCCCACAAGAAACAGTCCTCACAAACTTCTCCAACATGGGCCCTTCCCACAGGCTGCAGTTCTTCATGAACTGCTCCAGCATGGGCCCTTCCACAGGGTCACAAGTCCTGCCAGCAAACCTGCTCCAGCATGGGCTCCTCTCTCCACAGGTCCTGCCAGGAGCTTGCTCCAGCACCAGCTTCCCATGGGGTCACAGCCTCCTTTGGGCACATCTGCATGCTCCAGTATGGGGTCCTCCACAGGCTGCCGGAGGATATCTGCTCCACATGGACCTCCATGGGCTGCAGGGGAAATCTCTGCTCCAGCACCTGGAGCACCCCTTCTCCCTTCTTCTTCACTGACCTTGGTGGCCGCAGAGTTGTTCCTCTCGTGTTTTCACTCCTCTCTCCAGCTGCAGTTGCACAGCAGTTTTTTCTTCCCCTTCTTAAATATGTTATCACAGAGGCACTACCACCATCACTGACTGGCTTGGCCTTGGCCAGCAGCAGGTCCATCTTGGAGCCACCTGGCATTGGCTCTGTCAGACACAGGGGACGCCTCTAGCAGCTTCTCACAGAAGTCACTCCTGTAGCCCCCCCCACTACCAAAACCTTGCCACACAAACCCAATACAATCTTCTCCAAAGGAGTCAGATTGACACAAGCTCCTGTTTTGAATGTTATTTGTGCAGCTGGATAAAAGTCACTACTCTACACTCCAGCTGCAACTGAGAAGTTACAGAAAAAGAAGAGTCACAACGTATTATTAGTGCAGTCATTTATATTCGGCATTTAACAATCCATTACACTTAAAGTTTGCACAAATGACTTTTCACCACACTGGTATCACAAACAAAATGTAATGCATACAAAACCTCAAATACTTGAATTTCAACAAAGAAAGCTGCTACAGAATAGCATCTTGTTTCACAAGGACAACTTCAGAGTAGAGGCAAGTGCGTTTCAGTCACGGTAGCATAAACGGCATGCAACACATGACATTAAACAGATGCAATGTCTACGCTTGAAACATTAAATAAAAATTAAGATACATTAAACACTTGAAACACAGGCCATGCTATACAATGCCCTTTGCAAGTCACCTTAATCACTTAAAAACCCCAATGAATCCTCTTTTGACTATTTACTGGTAAAAACTAGTATGACAGTTTCCCCAGTACGTTAAAGATCTGTAGTTTGACATTTATTTTTACAATAAAATGCATATAAAGTATTATGATTAAAAGTTCATAATCATATTATAAATCATCTTCAAATGTTCATAAAATCCTCTTTTGGCTGAAGCTCAAAATAGTTTAGGTATTTCTAAAGATGTAGCAAATCACTAAGATTTAATTCCCCGTAATTGCTTTTCAAATGCATTCTTCTCAATGATTTTGAATTGTATATCAAAGTTTCATATTCATCTGAGCAAGGCTGTTTTACCTAGTGGCACAATTAGTATATTCTAAGAGTTCCTTTCTCTCAGTTTTTTCAGGCTTCAGGAAACAGTTCCCTTTAAAAATACGTATTCATCTTAATTTTGTGCAATGGTTTTACAAGGGATGGAGCAGAAGTGCACTAGAGAAATTTCTTTTTAGAAAAAGGCATTTTGAAGAAAGTTTTTCTTATCATGTACATGTGGCCAAAGTCCTTGGACACCGATGAACAACTGACTAGAAGTAATTTCCCTTACTAAAAAGGAGTACACAATTCTGTAAAAATGTACTACAAAACCACAGTGCTAATAATGCCCAGTTTTCTTAGACCTTTATGATAGACATAGTAATGTACATACACAATTTGTGTGACACATTAAAGCTTTTACGGGAAATTTTTTTGTCTCTTCATAAAAAATAGATTATAATATAAAATATTAAAAACAAGCTATATAACTTGTACCACATGGAGTTTTTATATATATGACATTTTAAAAGGACTATTATATGGTAATATATTAAAAGATCATTTTCAAGTAAATTATGATTCAATTTCATAGACAAGAACATGTCTATAATATGTATTCCAGCAGTATCTATTCCCAGTAATCTGAAATAAGCAAAATAAAGCCTGTCTTCCACATTTCTCAATTTCAAGCCTGTTCATTTTCTGTATGCAAGATTCCTGATGCGTTAAATGGGAACTAAGTATTGGGGCCTATTCCAAAGGAATTTGAAGAAAACCACAGCATCTCTCACAGGCTCAGTGAAAGTGAATCTAGTCACATTTTCACGAGTGACTAATCATTTGCGTTCTCGCTTTCAGGCCCAAGAATGTTCTGAAAAGCTTATGCCCTCATCCAACAGGATATAGAACGGGAAGTTGCTCTGTGGTATGCTGTAAGGTCACTCTCAAGTGCTTTTGAGAATAAAGGTCAGAAAGACCTAACTTAAAAATACTTAATACCCATTAAAGATCAAAGATCAGTACCTATATACATTAGAGATTAGATTTAAGATCTGTATGACTTCCGCTGGATAAACAAAATGCTTACAAACATTATGTACAGAAATTTACTCCACCCCCTCCAACATCATGTTTCTTAGGTGTTTATCATTAATCTCACAGCTGAGAAGTTCTGAATGATTCCTACTTTAAGTGGTGAATGCTTCTTCTGTAACTGCTATACTCCAAACAGCTTATAATACTGGCATTCCTTAATGTAACAGAGGCAAAGTTCCGGTTCCAGTAACTGCAGGAGTACCAGAACTTGGCCTAGTATCAACTCGGTTTTGGTTAAAAAAGCAGTTTGCTATCCTTCTTTGCTTCAAAGTCTTTTCAGAAACATGGTTTTAGATGTTGCTCTACAAAAATACAATGTAAGCATAGTACATTTTATCTACAATTGTTTTGTCATTTCAGAATTGCATTGCTATATGTAAATATGTTTAAAGTTGAAAAATAACATTACGTTTTATTGGTGGCAAAACAGTAAGTACTTTTGCTAGCTCTTTCCCACTGCAAATCATAATAAATGCTTGCCTTGAAAACTAATAATTCACTGGCTATTACAAGTGACACAATCCATTAAACAAATTTAGTCTATTAATATATATTATGTCCTTGAAATTAATTTCTTTCCAGTGAATTTCAGAAGCTATCTGCATACATTTTACAATATCTCTTTCACTAATAGTCACTGGAGTGGGCTGTTCTTAGTGGGGAAGTCAGATTACTGTCTTGGAAAGTAAAAAAAAAGGGGGGGCACAGAAATAGGTCATATTTTTTAATTGGTAGGCATTTCTGTTTCTGCTTTCCCCATTGGTGCCTCAGGAAAAAGTAGTTTTCTAAGTATGTTAGCATAGAACGGTCCATACACTTGTTTGTTAAAGTTTACAATACTCGCATACTGAGATCCAACAAACTCCATCTCTGTCTGAATCACAGAGAGGCCTCCTGGCATAGTAGGCATACACTTGTGAAAACTCGGAAGACCAAGCAAGCTTCTCATGAAGAACTGGATTCGTTTGTCTGAAATGGAATATAAAGCATGCTCAAACAAATTTAAACCCAAGATGAAGCCACACTCACTTTGTAAGCACCCTGCACATCAGCACAGCAAAAAAATCCAACAATGTAGGTAACAACTCTTTCTCAAGCCCGTGCTACAGTGGGAAACAATATCAAAAGCTTTTTAAAGTTGGCTCCTGCAAGGTAGACACAGCACAAGCCTGCTGGAACAAGTTACATTACCTAATATGAAGTAGGCTCAAAGAAAAAAAAAAAAAAACACACTAGTTTTGAACCCAGAACTGACAGAAGGGATACTGAATAGCACTCATTTTTCTAATTTCTTCTCCAAAATACTAGCATCTCCAGGCTTGTCTGTACAGACACTTTTTAAATTATTTTAGCTGCAACTAGCCATGCTCTGCAGCATACCAAGAACACCATTATAGGTAAACAACATTTCCTTACTCTTAGTTGACCCAGTATTTTACTGCAGTAAGAAACTGCTTTTAAAAAAACAATAATTAGACAGCTGATTAAGCTTGCTGGGAGTAAGTTTATATACACACACATACAGTAAGACAATTATGTGTTAGCTTACTAACCAATCAAGGAACTGACAGGATTATTCTCCTCAACAATATGAGCAATTTGACCCATTAAATTACTATGCATTTCTTCATTAAGGGTGGGAAGACCTCTTTCAGTTAGAGACCTGTTCACTTTGCTGCAGATCTGGACACCAATAGCATTCAGAGCCTCCTTCAAATCAAAAGTTCTGGAAGAAAGAAGTAGAAAAGCATAACTTGTGCAGTTTCTGTAGCATAGGTTGTAAGGGGACCTCACTTGTCTCCCTTCCCTTTTATTTCAACCTGCTCTCTGCAATGAGAGAATTTAGAGGAGTTATCTTTTGTTTTTGCACATTTATGTACATCTACAGACAGGACAAATCTCCATGTGGAAGATTAAATGACGACCTAATTGTGATTCAAACAGGAAAAATAATTTCAAGTGCGCAGCAGTGACACCAGTTCATTTTGCCCTTATGCTTAGGTGTTTTCCTTGGCCACATGCACAGCATTTTATGTGAAAATGCAGACCTGAAAAGTATTTTATGAGACGGTCTTTCAGATCACATCAGACTTGCTTGTAGTGCAAGTGGCAACAGAAATAGGCAGCCAGATAGCTTGAACTACCTATAACCAGTTTGAAGCAACTGACAAGACAGTTTATTGAATGTATTGCCACAGTCTCTCCAGTATTAGGAATGTATGAATGAACTTTAATACTAGGCTCCAAATTCTGTAGGCTAACATCAAGATTAAGATTTCATTAAAACCTAACTTTGAAAACATGTGCTTAACATACTGTGCCTAACATACAGTGGACTTAGATTACAAAGGGACTACAGATATAGATTATTGAAGTTTGGTATCTTCCTATTATTAACAAGCACTGGCTATGACATTTGAATTGTTTCCAAGGGTTTTCAGATCCACCTGGTATTTCCTATTAAAAGAAATATGAAAAGTGATAAAAACAAGGCCTTACTTCTTGTTCATGCCTTCAAGAAGAGGAACACAGATCCTTTTCAGTTGGTCAGCAAAATCAGGTACATCTACAATTGCTGCACCCACCGTATTGTTTGTTATGAGACAAACACAAGCTATGATTTTTAATTGATTGAGCTTTTCTCTCAACTCCTGAAGACGAACTTCATCTGTTATTAGAGTCTAGAATTGAAACAATAATACTAATTTAGGAATACAGAGGGACAGAGGCAGGGAAAAGGACAGATATAGGATGTAGTCACGAAGCATTAACATTTTTAATCATGAATATGCAAAGTCAGAAGAGACAGCAGCTAAAATACCCTGAATATGTAGTATTGCACAAAGTGGCATTATGTATGAGCACCAGAAGTAACCCTGTGGTGGAAGGAAAGGTAATGCCTTCAATGCGGAGGAGACTAAGAACATTGCATCTTATTCCTCATCGCTGCTGCCGGTAATCTGCTACCAACAACAATTCAGCCCATGATGTGGAACACTCGGGGGGTCTAGAGGATATTGTAGTGATCAAGGTTACAGACAGAACAGTCTTCTGGATTCAGCTGTCTTTTGAAAAATGACAATCTGTAACTAATGGACAGTGATGAACAACTGTGCATGACAGCCATCAGTTCAGCCACCAGAGCAGGTTCTGCAAGTGATCCATCACCTGCTACAGGTGAAAAGCCAGTTGATCATACCAAGAACATAAGTAATTCCCACAGCAAGATGTAGCTAGAGTGACTTGTTTTAGGTTAGAAAGAGTTCATCCTAACCAAATCCCTCCACTGAGAAGCACAGGGGCATTAACATTCAGCTGTTTGATAGTAATTTCATAGTATGACAGACTAGATCCACCAGAGGATACCTGTGTGTAGCTCTTACTCAAAACTGTTTGAAGGTAGGCAATAGTAAGGTGGTTTCCCTTCTGTCCACTGACCAAGAGCACTAAGAGCATCCCCATGTATTTAGCAAATTCTCTGCCAGGCCATCTGAAGTATAGCTAAGGCGCTCACTGCAGATGCTAATTTCAGCCCGGACTGATGGCCAATTTCACACTGGCTTTATGGAAAGTTGCAGAGGTCAGTAATCAGGAGTTGAAGGGAAAAACTGAACACTGATTCTTGAAGCAATAGTTATATGCACTGAGAAAGAGCAAATATCTACTTTAGAGGGCTTCAAAGGTTTTACCAATTCTGTTCTAAAGCAAGAGTCATTCCACCAATTCCTGATGCTGTTAGGCACACAGGATGCAGTA